TCATTAAAAGGTTTGATATTTGGTGGAATTCGAGTATCAATAACCATGGAATAAGTTGCTTGAATATGTTTCATATATGTGATATTGTACCACCATGCCGTTTTTGACATGAGAAACCCACTTAAAGGTGAACAACCAAAATATAATACTTTGAATAATAAATGTCTATTAATAGTGCCAAGATATGATGTATTTTCATAAAGTGCAGGGATTGCATAGCAGGTAGCAGGTTCTACTCCACAAGTGCAGGTGCCCGCATAACTTGGAGAGTCGTCTAATACGGAACTTGCTAAAAAATTTAGATGATATTTAGGAAACACTTGACCATCATTGATTTTATCTATATCAACATTTCTATTCAATCCATTGTAAAGAGGACTATGAAGAAAAATAAGTTTCGTCCAATTAAATATTTGTACAAAATCATAGCTTGTTGTACGAATAAATGAAGTCATCATAGCTTCAGTTTGTTGAGTGAAATGTGATGTAGAAGGAACACGATCATTAATAAACTCAGTATTCATAAATACATGCTGTGCATCTGCAATGTTCTTTTCAGCTAATGAACAAAAAGCAGCTAAAATTTGAAAATAAGAAGCACCCATTTTACGAAAATCTTCAGCATATAAGGGGTCAATATCGAGCGGCAGATGAATCGGATCAAAAGATCTTAGATAATGTAACCATTTTAATGAAACCAGATCACTTGAACAGACTTGATGTAATATGAATGTTACATTAAGAAAAACTTTATTGGGAATGGATATGTCTGAACAAGGACAATATAATGTAGTTGGATAATCCTTATATAATTGTTCATAAGTATCAAGAGATGGATTTAGTTTTGTTATCACTTGATTTTGCTTTATAACAATGGTGTATACTCCAGCAGCAATTGATAAAATAACAATGAAAAAAATGAAAAATCTTGTTAGGAGTTGTTCTCGATAAATGTTAGTAGGTGTACGATGTGTTTGTTTTTCAAAAAGATTTAAAGATATTATTGCTTGCCATAATTTATTTAATAAAAGTCGAATGCGAAGTTGTATACGTTGCTCTGAAAAGAAAATGAATAATAAATTCTTTTATCAAAATACAATATTTATTATGTCTAAATATTCAAAATAAATCATTAAATTGATAGGAGATACATGTATGTGATTTGAGTCATTAAACATGCAGTAAAGTACAAACCATTCGACTAAGTACCAGGATGGTTTTGAATGTAAGCTAAATCTCAGATTTACATCCATCTCCTCACTCACTTTTAGAAATAGAAGTTCCTGCCGGTTGTAAATTAATACATCGATCCATTAAACGATTGTCAAAACTGTTGATCGACTTTATCTCTGACGTATACTATCAGCCACTCTCAAGTTCCTAAAAGTCTATTCTAACTTACTTCGACTGTGTTCCACAGTTGTTACAGTTAACCCATTTTCCATTAGTAAAATTCGATTTTTTCGACGTAAAATCTTTGTTGCAACAAAAGATGCAATATGTCGTATGATTAATGGCAATATACCAATAGAGCCAGTAACAGCCGTGAAAATAAAAAAAATGTCAAAACGTCTTCTATATGAATATGAGCAAAAAGGACAATTACATTCCGAAAAATATTTATCAAATCGAATTTCAGTTATTGTTTCATCTATCATTGATTTATTGAAGATTAATTGTACTGTTGAATACATAGAAAAATTTTTATTCGATGTATTTGATAATGGTTGAATATTCATTGATAATTGTCCATGTAAAATTGAAATACATGATTGATTGTAATAACATTCAAGTGTTGAGGCAAGTGCACCATCAACAATTAAACAATCTACTATCATTCCTGGTACATTAACCAAATGACCATAACTATCATTGAATGTAGCAGATCGTGGACAACCTTCAATATTTAAACAAGTACAATTACCAAATGTTTGAGCTGTCACTTTCAGATATCCCAATGGATTTAAATATGCTGGTGGATAACGTAAATAGAAATTTGTTTGTAAAGCTGATACAACTTGATTTCCACGTGCTATACGTTGAAAAGTCAGTAAATTACGAGCTGATATTGTTCTCGACAGATCTATTTGATTTTGAAGAGTGTTTTCAGCTTGAACTCGAATAACTTGTTCAGCAACTGCTGTAGGAGTAATAAAACTTGTGACACCAAAATTTGCCAGAACATCATTCCAACTTTTGTTACTTGCTATACATAAACCAGCAATTGTTTGCCAAAAAAAACTAAGAGTAATACGAGCATCATGGATAGATTCCATTGAAATATTTTCATTTGTAAATAATTTATCAATCCATGTCTGTTGAATAAATTCACTTGAACAAACTTGATGAAAACTAACGTTAGTAGTGACGAATTTCTCATAGTTTGTTGAAGATTTTGAACATGGGCAATGAAGAGTATTTGGATACTTACGAATTAATTGTGAAAACTTCTCATGTGAAGGTTTGTACTCAATTTTGTCAACAGGTCGAACGATAAGTGCAACTGTAATAGTAATAACAAATAAACATACAATTAATGCAATCAAATAAATACGAGTAGCAAGAAGTTCTTTTTCAAGAGTATGTTCATCACTTGAATGTTTTTTGTATAAATTCAATTCGAGAAATTTTTTCCATATACCATTCACTAAATTGCGTATCATTTTAAGACTCACCTGCGATTGAAAAAAAAATAGAATGAATTTTCTACGTATAACTACCAGATTTATATAGAAAAAAAATTGATGAATGAAGAACATGTTTTATTTTATATTTAATAATTTGTAATAAACTTTGTTGTTCATCTATCATTGCTAAGAAAAATGATTGATATGAAAGGAGTTTTATTTTGAAAACATAAGAAAATAATAAAACTGCTTCATCTTTATTTGCAGTGAATGATTGATAAGTTCTGAATTGCTTTACATATATTTTGAAAAAAATTTAATAAAAAAATCTTTCACAAAAAATAGTAAATACATTGAATATTTAATGAGTTTATTATATATTAAATAAAATTAATATTCGCCTATTATCTAAATTTTTACTAAGTGAAGATGGTTAACATATAAGAAGGATTTTCACTTGGTGCTGTGATGTGTACATTTCTTCTTATTAGTACTGATATGGTGTCATAATATACGTAAATTTTTTCTCTTCATGACGTTATCTATGTTGATTTTCACTGTTTTCTAGAGATTTCTTCTCTTGTTATCCTGCAGGATGTAGCCATGAATATTATTGTTAACTGATAACTATATCCTCATCCTTAACTTTTTTCTTATTTCCATTAGCAATAATTTGATCACAACTTGTATTTAATCTCTATTTCAACAGCATAATCATTTCTTATATCAGTAATAAAAATACTACTATGATAATTACACTAATTTATTCCATTTTCTTCAGCAACAGTTCTTTCATTTTATCTCCATTTAAAATCAGTGTGAAGTAACATAGAAAATTTTTCTATTCATCTCTATTACCTTCATCTTTTTGATAAGACTATATCTATTATTCTTGATGTTGATAATATGATGATTATTCTCAATAACACCAATCAAATTCATCATATCATATCTTTCGATTTAATTAGAATTAGTAAATGAAAGCGTCATTAATTATAAAACATGTAAAGACATTTCTATTTGCGAGATATTTTCATCTAATAAAGATGAATGCAATATGAGTGGGTTTTCTTTAAACAATATCATTCAATGTTAAAACTGAATCGAAAGCATTATTTGTTATATGAAATAAAAACTTATCAAATCTATAACTATAAAACATCCATCATTTTTCTTTTTGTATTTCAAGAACATTTATTTTCTAAATAAAAATATTTTCTTAAAAACAATCATCAATCTTTCTTTTTAATACGTCATCGACGAGCTTGAAATATCAGGTATTTATGATTATTATAAAGATGATCATGTGAATTAAACTGCGCATTTGATAAAACTCTTTCCTATATTATTTGAGACCAAACTCAACTGAGAATGATGGATGAACAACGAGAAAATATAAAAACACGATCAGAGTGTGAAAAAAGAATTTTTTTCTCAATGTGAGGACGTGGATATAATATAAGTATAACATTTATCACCATCATATATACACAGACTAAACAATATGGCATAGTAAAAAATTATCTAAGTTGAGGATCAGACATGTATCAGAAGTGCTATTCTTCAACACATCTAACTGTAACCCATACTTCATTTAATTTGGCTGAACTATATACTAATATTGAAGAATATGATATTCCTGTTGGAATTTATAAAAAAAAAACAGTTAAAATTCAAGTAAAAAAATTACCTTCATCTAACATTGTCATGACTGATAGTCATAATAGAATTGAATTCGCTTATGGTAAACTTAACAACATCTGACGAAAAGTAGAAATATATGTAAGAACAATAAATAATAATATAATATATTTTGAAAAAAAAATGCATTTATAAAAAAAAGATTGTTTCTTGTCCTCTCGAATTAATAAAATAAATATTAAAAGTTCTACTATAGAGATAAAATAAAATTGACGTGGAGAACCAAACATATTTAGACGCGCAGGTCCTGGTGGAAATTTCGATGATATTGAACCTTTAGATGGTTCTGAACCATGATGATCAGATGAGGTTGAATGAGAACTTATTTCACGAGTATTGTTTTCTTGAGATGATGCATTTTTTCCACGTGATGATCCTAATAGAGGATAATCTGATTTGACTTCTCTCATCTGAATAATAAAAAGACCGTTTCTAGAATCAAGACATGAAACAACTTTAAATTTTCATGTAGCAACTAATAAGATTTCAGTTGAAAAGAATGAATGTTGTTAAATATTTTTACCAGGTTCACAATCAATATCGAAGAGAGTTTTATCTCTTGTTTTCCAAGAAATTGTTCTAATTGAAGCACTTGTACTGAATTTGTTCATGATGAAAATCCTCACCAAATAAATATTTGTCCTTGTGGATATTGTGCACTTAAATCCATTTTAACTCCTCGATAAATAGTTCGATTAACTGATGGTAATTTCTCAAGAGAAGAAATAAAAAGTTTTAAATAAAGTTGCCATGGCTGTAATTTTTCTTTATCTTCAGCTCGAAGAGTATTATTTAATGTAATATAAAAAAGGATTTTCTCTTAGTTTCCATTCTACTGAATACAACATGATTGAAGCAGATTCGTCAGTTGTTAAACTATCTTTTGTTTTATCACATTTCTCTTTTGCTTTCGATACCATTTCTTTGATATTGGGAACAAGTGAAAGTAATGGCTCAACTATTTCTTCAAGTGAAACAACCGGTATATCGTCAAAATTTTCAATTGGTTTTCGCATTTTTTGTGATGGTGCTAACTCATCTAGTATTCGACGAGCATGTTGCGGTTCAAAATCTCTTAAAAATCTTGCAGCCATTTCAAAATGTAAATAAATGAACAAAATTCTATAAAAAGAAGCTGAATAAAACTATGTACTAGTATCGATTATTTATTTCAAAGATTCAAATGAATTTTGATATACACTATGAAATTAAAGATACATAAAATTTATTTCTAATATATGAAAAAAAATATTCTATATATTACATACCTATTTTATTTATGTTCGAAAAGAGCAGTAAAAACACAGAAAGAACATTTATATTTTGTGTTTACACGCTTCCTTTTTTACGACGAAGAAAAACAAAATGATACGAATCGTTACACTTAGTTTTGTATATCTTTTTATATCACATGATTGATCGTATAAGCATTACTGAATTCAGGTGCTTGCGACACATTATTAAGTAATGTATTGAAAAAAATAAAGTTAAATTATATTTTCTTCGATATATACGTTTTTTCTTTTTTCTGTATCTTTTAATAGACATCAAAGAAACAGCTATTCATATGCTTTGAGTTCACGCACTCCTGATCTCCTTTGTATTATCCGCTCTCTCCTTCTGCATTCCTACTATTATAGTCTCTCTTTCTCTCGGACTATCTTAGATACTCGCTTATGCAACGGCGACATCGATCATGTCGAACCTCTCCACGGACTCTCTCTATCGGTAGCTTCAAAGAAGTAAACTTCTTATCGAATTGTCTTTCACATCTTCATTATTTCTACTCGTGATGTCTGTTATGATTAATAACCTACGAATAAATTTTTTCCTGATTTCTCATTCTTCAGATTTTCTTTTTCCAGTTTCTTTTCGGAATTTCTTGGCAACACCATTTTCTGTATTAAGTCAAAAGCATGTTTTTGATTGTCATTTTTTGCTCACTTCCTACGGCTAAGAAAAGAAAGAAAAATCTTAAATGACTCATCTTTTCTTTCATCGTGATATAAGAAAAACAAACTTCAGTAGTAATTTCATAATCTAGTAAC